CGTGTCTGGGGTGAAGGAAGTCTGGGAGTCCCTGCTTAGGCTGCTGCCCCCGCGACCCGGCCCCGGATAAGCGGACGAAAATGGATGGATGGACAATAACTCTCAACTTTGTTCAAACTATAACGTGTAAAAAAAATGTCAGAGACGCTAAATTGTTAGAATATTCACAATAAGTCATAATTGTTCAAACAGTTGGAGGTTTACAGCGTCCAGCACGTCTGAGTCAGTGTGGTTACTGTTCCCTGGCAGTTCAGTGATGATTCTGGTCTTGGTGAAAGCTCGGACCACAGTTGATACTGATCCTCAGCCAGGCGTCCACGATCCGTCAGCAGATCGTGGCGTAAGTGGCTCGGCGTTGTCTCTCTGTCTCTCTGTCTCTCTGTCTCTCTGTCTCTCTGTCTCGGTGAATGTGTGTTCTCCTTCTCTCATCCACTGCTCCCATGCAGCTAAATGCACTTTCACTTTAGAACAGCCTTGAGTTTAAAGTGGGCATTGTGAGCGTGTCTCTTGACAGGTGCATTTTGATATTAAAAGGAATTCACAGTCTGTATTACTCCTGATGCTTCTGACGACAGGAGCCGTAATGCTGCAAGGGGAGTGGCTTTGGAGTTTACTAAAGTCGTACTATGACGCCCTGATAAATTCATATATAAGGCGCTCTGGATTATAAGGCGTGCAGTCATTTTTGATTAAATTAAAGGCATTTAAGTGCGACCTATAGTGCGGAGAATACGGTAGTTCAAGTGGGAATAAACACCTAAACTCCGCCCACAACCACATTTCAAGTAGTGCTGATGAACTGAGCAGGACCTGGAGGAATAAAGAGGAGAGTGAAGACTGAACTCTGCTCAACTTTCGTGTCAGCCTCAGTTGTCTCAGTCTTTGTCTGTTTTTGACCTACTGTGTGCTGCTTTTGTGTGTAGATTGTTGTTTACTTGTGTGTTTTTGTATGTCTCAGAGACTGCAGATGTAAATGATCTCTGAGCACAAAGCATCTCTTCAGTGTTCCTTTGATTAATGCTCTTGTACATGGACAATAAACGAAATAAACAAAACCATGTCCTGTGATCTTTTGCAGAACGGCACTTTGAAAATCATCGATCGTAAGAAGCACATTTTTAAGCTGGCGCAGGGAGAGTACATTTCCCCGGAGAAGATCGAGAACATCTACATCAGGAGTGAGCCCGTGGCACAGCTGTACGTGCACGGGGACAGTCTCCAGGTGCGTAACCCGAGCGCCGTTTAAAGTGCTTTTCCATGTTGTTCTAATTCTGACTTGGTTTGGTGGGAGAGTACCTGTACAAAATATTTATTATCCACAGGAAATAGAGCTGAGTTATAAAACGTAATCCCTCTACCTCTGGGCCCGGTCAAGCAGAAGTAAACAACAAGGCCAAAAATACAAGTTAATTCATCTGATATAAAACTGTATTGAACAGATACATATGTACTCTAGTTTATGAAACTGTTGACCTTTTTTCTGGACCATTTTTGGTTCTAAAGTTCCATATGTTTTAAACAGACCATGTATGAAACATGGAACAAAAATTATTTCCCAAATTTCAAAGACCCAAAAATCATGTAAATAAATGGATGTATTTCATCATATCTTGTGTTATTCCATCTTTGAACTGTTGATGAAGGGACAGGATTTAAAAAATTTTTTTATGTATTTAAAATTATAAAAAATTGCTTGGAAGGACTGACATATTTTATAGAAATAGTTTCCTTTCATTTTGAAGTAATATTAAAGTATTGGGAAGAAAAAAGAGACAAATGATGTAAAATCCTGCACCTTCTACTTGTTTGTACAATTTTCCCTCTGTTACTTTTCCCTCCGTTACCATGAACTTTCTTAATAAAAAATCTCATGAGTCAAAAAGTAAGAGGTTTTTCAACCTAATCTTGTACCATATGGTAGAAAACTATATGAAGCAAATATTCAAACCAGTTTGTTAAGGATATGTAAGTGAGAACCAAGAGTTATCACTGTTTGGATTTATTGACCAAAAAGTGCTGCATATTTCATTCCCTCTGTTACCAACATGAGTTTTTTAAGTTTTTTTCAACAACTTGAAAGAATATCACAGGTTTAACTTGACCCTGTTGGAGTGTAACTCTTTCCTACATTCTGATACTTTACTTATTTCAATAGTTCCTCTAGTTTCTGAATAAGAGACATTTGAATGTCAAAAATCTGCCCCTGTTTCCCTCCGTTACCACTTGACTGAACCCCAATGTCATCAACACACAAAACTCCATCCAAAATGCAATTTACTGAGTTTACATCATCATTTTAACAAAACAAAGGTGTCATTTATTTTTATTTGTCTAATCATCACTATTGTGTATTTTAGACATGTTTTAGTCTGTGTTTACGATATGGTTGCTCGGGAATAGTTATGAATAACCTCTACATATGTCACACCTCAAAAACGATAAACTTCACCCAGATTAAAATAAACTCTCCAAATCCAGTCTCCAAAAACTTGTAATGTTGTCATATACCGTGTAAAACGTTGTCTCTCTCTTGTCCAGTCGTGTCTCGTTGGGATCATCGTCCCAGACCCAGAGGTGATGCCGGAGTGGGCCAAGAAGAAGGGGCTGTCAGGCTCGTACCAGGAGCTGTGTGAAAACCCGGTCAGTGCAGACGCTTTCCTTTTATAACTCACAAGAGAAGCTTTATCCACATGAGCTACAGAAGTTTACAAACACACACGTACACACAGGTACACACACGTACACACACGTACACACACGTACACACACGTACACACACGTACACACACGTACACACACGTACACACACGTACACACACGTACACACACGTACACACACGTACACACACGTACACACACGTACACACACGTACACACACGTACACACACGTACACACACACACGTACACACACGTACACACACGTACACACACGTACACACACACAGATCGTCTTTCACATTCATTCTTGAGATTCTGACAGTAATAATTCACAGCTCAATCTTGTCATGGTATTTTCAAAAGCAAAAAAGAGTCCTGTCTACAATTATATTAGCCACTCCCAAATATCGTAATAAATATCGTACTGTGAGATGCAAATCATGAACATATTTTCTTATATAACTCACCAGAGAAGCTTTATGGATCCACAGAGCTACAACAGTGTTTCCCAGACTTTTTTCTGGAGACCCATATTTTAAAAGCCACAAACCTTTGGCCACAAATAATGGTGGATTTGAGCATTATTGAAGATGACTGAGGATATTTTATTGTTGACCGAGTGATCGTATCTCTGAACAATTAGTATTACTCAAGTTTGAAACACTGAAAAACAGTAATTGAAGCAGCAATAAAAGCATCCATAAGTCGACTATTTGGACATTAAATGTTGCCCATTTCTTTTTCTTTTCAACATTTAGTTGCACCATCAACAGTGGAACAAAATAGTCACTACTTCTCTCATGTGTCAGAACTGTTTATCAAAGATCTACATGCAGTTCGTGACAAGGCGATGCAAAAAAAAATTAAATAAAATCTCTTGCAACCCACCTGAGACTTTGGGAAACAATGAGCTACAGAACTTTACAAAACACACGTGCAGTTCATCTTTCACATCACATCTATTTAGAAAAAAAAAAAAAAAAAGGGCTGGGGTGTAATTCCTTCCGCTGCCAGCAGATGGCGGCAGATAGCTGCACTACTTCTTAGTAAGGGCACTGCTGAAGCAGTGTCATTATTTAAAGTCCAAAACATGGTTTAAAAGCCAATACCATTGTAAATAAAACCTAACATCCTTTAAACATAAAGCTTAACGCTCAAAGTTACTGACCCTGACTCTGTTTGATGTGCAGCTGTTGAAGAAGGCCATTCAGGAGGACCTGGTGCGTTTGGGCAAAGCCAGCGGCCTCCACTCCTTTGAACAGGTACAGTAGTGTATGAAATACATGTTTATTTTGATCTTGTATATTTTATCTTGTGCACCAAGATACATCAAGTGTCAGACAGCAGCTGCTCTTGTAAAGATGTGGTGTGTGTGCAAGTGTGAAAACAACATTTGTGTTTTGAGTCATGCTTTTCACATGTACTTTTTACTTTTTAAGCACAGTTTTGGCAACAGTACTTATAATTGAGTACATTGTGAGCCATGTAACTGTACTTTTACTTGAGTATATTTGCAATACTCTTTCCATTACTGCCTTAGTAATTCAGATTTCACACAGACCAGTGGTCACTATGGACTTCTCATTGAACACGTCAGACAGAACAATAATCTTCAGTATGAGTCAGTATGTATCATGTGAACTTGTTCTTTGGACCTGTGGGACATTGCTGCTTATTCAGTCAGTGATGTCATGGCTCATTCAAAACTGGTTCCTCTACTGGTGTAAACTTGCATTAACTTCTTGGGTTCTTTTTAAAGACAATGCAGTAAAGTGTGTTTACCTTGTTGACATGTTTCGGCTGCTGTATCTTCAGAACTGTCACCGGTGTTGGTGGTGACGTGTCGTAGGTCAGATGTTGTTACTTCCTGTAGTCGTGGTCAGACCTGATGGACCTGCAGGTCGCTCAGACTGACCACGCCTCCCGTCGCCCGGTGTCTCTGGAGGAGGGTGTCCCGGGTGTGTGAAAGGAGGAACGCTCCGTCATCACGGTAACGGCACCAACACCGGTGACAGTTCTGAAGACGGCTCGCAGCAGCAGCCGAAACATGTCAACAAGGTAAATACACTTTACTGCATTGTCTTTAAAAAGAACCCAAGAAGTTAAAGTACATAAGAAGACAAAATGAACATCTTTTGCGTAAACTTGCATTGTGGGGCTTCAGAGCTGTTTTAATGTCACATATTTAACTTTTCCCCACACCCTTCGTTCACTGCCTGTGATGAGACAAAGATCACAGTCACACTGGCAGTGCTTTTAAATACCACAACGGTCACAGAATGTTGTTGTTTTTTTATTTATTCATATGTATATAGATTAACTAACTTAGTTTGGTAAAGAGTACTATTCAAGGGCACTTTGCAGCTTGGAGACTTTCCAGCTGATTTCCTTCTGCAGTTTAATTAATAGGATTTGATCTGTACAACTAACCACTTAAGTTGCATTCTGATAGTTTTTTGTTTGTTTTTTTAATTGCAGCTCATGTTTTTTAACAATACTGTAGAACTGTATACTATTTTTACTAGATATTCTGCTTTATGGTTTGGTTTCATTATTATTGTTTATCATTTCTCTTTATTTCATGAATATATAACACTTCAGAATGTGTTTATGAAGAACAAACAGAACAAACCTGCCTGCGCTGCTTTCTGTCAGTATTTTTTAGTCCAGTCTCGTTGCTTAAAGTCCTTTGTCGTGTTCTTTCAGGTGAAGAACATCCACATCCACAGTGAGATGTTCTCCATTGCGAACGGGCTCCTGACCCCCACGCTGAAGGCCAAACGCCCCGAGCTCAAAGAGTATTTCAAAACCCAGATCGACGACCTCTACAGCAGCATCTCCCTCTGAGCCCCCCCCTCCTCCTCTTCATCTTCATCATCACCAACACTTCAGTCTTTATTTCAGTCTATTTCACGATCACATTGCTCTGTCCAGCAACATTTCTACTGCAAAAACAAATCTACATGAGCTACAATGACTTGAATCCAAAACCTGAATCAGAAGTTGGATTTTCATTGCCATTTGACAGAATTTAGTCTAGGAACTTGCCAATAATCAGTAATAAAAGTAAATTTAAGCTGTGATACATTAAAATCAAGACGTGAATTAAAAATAATGCAAATAAGAAAACCAAAATTGACTTTTTGAACTACAATTGACCAAATTTAAATGTTTTCCTTCCATGACGCCTCTGGATTTTTGACATTTGCCTATATCCCCGCGTGTCAGATGCCCTCCCATCCTCCAACACGCCTGTAGTTTTGGACGTTGTTGGATAAAGAACACGATAATTGACAGCAATTTTTTTTTTTAAAGTGACAAAAAACAGAACTAAAATTTCGACTAGATGTTTCCAGCAAAACGATCTGCAAACTGAGTACGATTTTTTTCACATTTCAAGTGCACTTTTCATTGGAATATTTCACAAATATGTTCAAATAAAATAGTCAAAAGTTTTCAAATCAACCTTAAGATTCTCGTTCAGGTCGGTTTCCACATATATATTTGTTTTTGCAGTGTTGTCATGCCGTCCATTTTGAATTTTCTTTGCATCAACATTTTTTTATTGTCAAACTAGTCTCTGCAGAAGCCAGTAGAGTTTGTCGTGTCTTAGAAGAAAAAAAACAACAACTTAATGACGAGTACTATTACTTCAAAATGATATCACTCGAGTAGAAGTTAAAATTAAAAACGTGATTCAAGTTTCTCGAGTTTTGGTGAAAAATCGACTTGGGAATTGAGTAGCGCTAATAAGAAATTATTAGTCGACTTAAAACTGTTCGTATCTTCGTGTAACTGAACCAAACTGCACTCGGAAAACTACACCTGCAGGGGGAGTTCATGCAAAAACTACTATTCACTCAGCAAAAAGTACTAGGAGTCAATGTATTTATAAAAAAAAAAAGACAGATTTAACTTAAGAATCACGAGTTTAATCTGACTTTTTACGTTTACTGCAGCCCTAGTACGGAGTCATTTGGAGGAGTCAATCTCTTCCCTTAGCCGTTTCAAATTGACACCAAAAATGACGAGGTTTTATGCAAGTACGAAACGAAACGCCGATTTACCGAGACGATTTTGCGTGCAATTAGAAAAAGAAAAAAAAGCATCTTTGTACAGGCGTAGTGTAGAGAGGTGGACCACTCCTGCCTTAGTAAGCGTTTGAATCTTTTGAGCAGTTTCTTTTGTGGTTTTGCGTGCATGCTCCTAGCCCAAAACTGGAATTTCTTTACCAAACCATATGCACACGTTTCTCTCCATAATTTTGTTGCACCAAATGTTTGTTTTTTTTATAATAATAATAATTTAAAAAAAATCACATAAAATGACGCAAACCAGGGCTTGGGCGGTGCATGTAGTTTGCCCGACTTTTGACTTGAAAAATTTAAAAATGATTGTTTCTTTTGGGCCACTAACAACGCTCAACAGTGGACACGCCGTTCTGATTCTGGAAGTACAACTCGTTCAGATTTATAAAGGTTTTAAAGGTGCACTGTGAAAGTTTTTCTCCAGTTATTGGTTTGCCTGTGACATAAAACACATTTACACATGCTTTATTGCTAAAAAAAATAAATAAAATAAAAAAAAAATACATTGAAAAGTGTGTAAAACCCTTCACTCGTCCTGGTAGAATCTATGGCAAAAGGAGAAATTCAATTTGTCAACTGGACAAAAGTTTATTTGGTCGAAAACATTTTGCAGTTCATCCAAGACGTTTCTTTAGTTCTGGTGAGACGCTGGTGGACACTTCCTTATATCTGCTGAAAGGAGGAGCTAACTACACTGAAACTACTCTGAAACTAACACACAGACTGTTTCTGTTTGTTAGGCTACGTTCAGACTGCAGAACGCTCATGAAAATCATGTTTTTTAGGTCGTTACTTGTGACTTGTAAGGAGGAGATGTGAGAAGGAGAAGGACGAGGTTTTTTGGTCGTGGGTGTTTTGTGGGTCAGCGGCAGCGACGTCCGTTGAAAGGAACATGTGGATGTGGAGACGGAGCCAAGAGTGGTGAGTGGAGATGTGCTTCACTTCAGTGACACGGAGTTCATTAACAATTTTCGCCTACTTCAGCGCAGAATAGTGACGTTTGTGTCTTGTTGATAACGTGTAGGTGGATGAATGCACTTTGACCGTTCAGACTGAAGTCGCATGTCAAAAGATCAGATATGTATCAGTTTCAGGAGCACAGATCCAAGTGTCCTGAGTCGCATTTGAAAAAATCTGATCTGTGTGGTTCAGACTGACATTAAAAGATCAGATACAGGAACATAGAAGCCAAAAAATCGGATTTGGGTCACTTCAGGCTGCAGTCTGAACGCAGCCTTAGTTAGGCCCACTGAACTGCACTGAGTGTGGGTGATATTTACAGAATCATTCAGGGCCATAATGGAGCTTTTTACACCTCTGGGCCTAACCTGGCATCACTGTTGTTTTTTTGTTTTGTTTTTTGTTTTAGTTTTATTTATTTAATAGGGACAGTGCATATTCATGAACATATACTTGTAAATACACCAGAATTAGCCGGAAGGTACTTCTCATCTGTAGTCCGTGGCAGGTCAGAGAGACAGAGACAACATAAGACAACATCACACAACAGACAAACTGTCAGTGACAATTCACAGGACAAACATGGTAGGAACAGCACAATAAGACACAATCATGACACACAACGCTGACATTTACACAGAAGCAGAACATTAGTGGCCACAGATCTGGTTTCTCTTAAGCCGTCGTTTCAGATTGGTTTGAAATGTCCTGAAAGTGGTAGAGTCTCTTATTGCAGCTGGGATGTTGTTCCGGATTTCTGTGCCCTTGACTGATCGCACCTGCTGACTGAACGTTGTGCTCGTGTTACCCGAACACTTGTTTGAACACTGTTTGTTTTGATTTCGGTTTGAAGATGGAGTTTTAAATAGGAGATAGATGGTGTCTGACTCCTCCGTTTCCGTTCAAAGATGGATTGTCTTTCCTCACAAAAATAGCTTATTTAACTTTTTTACTTTAAGTTCAATAGGCCGAGCTAACGAACAGAAACTGTAAACAAGTAGGGTGTTAGTTTCAGAGTAGTTTCAGTGTAGTTAGCTCCTCCCTTCAGCAGATAGAAGGAAGTGTCCACCAGCGTCTGACCAGAAGTGAAGAAGAGTATTCGACCAAAATAAACTTTTGTCCAGTTGACAAATTTAATTTCTCCTTTTGCCAATACATTGAAAACCTACTGCGAGCGGGCTTGCCTCTCCACAGACGTGTCCCATAACCTGGTGGTGTCAGCTGCTTGTTTCCATGCCGAAAAGCAAGTCTAATGCTATATCGTGGAACTTTCAATCAGGTGGTAGACCCTTGTATCAGAGAGGAAAAGAGTGAAGAAAAGTGTTAAAAAGTTTAACTGGCTCCAACCTGTAGTTCAACTTGTATTGTTGTGTTCTTGGGCAAGACACTTCTCCCAGCTTGCCTTTGTGAGTCTGTAAACTTAATAAATTTGGCTCTAGTGAAAATTATAAATGAACTGAAGTAGAAGTACCAAGCAGTGGTCCAAAAAGTGACTCGAGTAAGAGTAATTCAAAGCGTAACTATCTCGACATATCATCTGATCTATAATGTGTTGACGTGATCGGACAAAACATGAAATAAATCACAAAATCTGCCGTTTTCGAAGGACAGACATAAAAATTTGACAAACTGAATCATATCTGAAGGAGCCGCAAGACACACAAATGTTCTAATCATTTCAGGTTAAGAAACACATAAAGCTTTTGTCAACTAAACTCACTCACGGTGGGAAGACGAACCCCAACTTTTACTCAAGTAAGAGTACTGTTACACTGTAAGATTTATTACTCAAGTAGGAGTAAAAGTATGCTGCTAGAAAAGTACTCTGAAAAGTACAATTTCTTTAAAAAGTTACTCTAATAAATGTAACACCTCATATATTATTATTTGAATTGAAGAAATGACTGTCAGTTTTACTTCCATGACCAGTGACGGCGCCCCCTGTTGACCGATAACGGGACGGTACAAAGCTTTGTCATTGTGATTATGCAAAGCGAACGAGGAGCAAAAAAATACCGGATGAGTTTTAAGCGAATAAATACTTTGTTTGAACGGTTTACACTAGAAGTAATGTCTAGGAGAGGCTTTTTGATTCTGTTTTTTTAATTTCATTTTGATTGTCGTTCCAAAGCATATTCAAGGAGGTGTAAATACAGGACAGTAGTTGTAAACTTATTTATTAATGGATCAACGGTTTGAATGGACTTTTCTTTATTTGCGTGTAGTGAGATGATTTTGAATTGTATGTATTTATTTATCTATTCGGCTGTAAAAGGAACCGGCACCATGTCCTTGTAACGTGTGCAGCAATAGGGAGAAGGGAGGGACGGGCGGGGCATCCGAATAAACTGGAATGATTTTAAACTTTGCTGTGTTCTGTTGTCATTTTGGGTTTGATTTGGAATATATTTGTACATCCACGTCCGTGCCCGCAAACCGGAGAGTTGGCGGTTCGATTCTCACCCGAGCGTACGCCCGTTGTGTCCTCAGGCAAGGCACTTCAGGTCTGGTCCGGAGTGTTACACGTCCCCGAGATAATGTGATGCAATTCGGCTAAAGTGGACGGGACCTGGAGGACTAAAGGGGGGAGTGAGGGGGGACGAGGAGGGGCGGGGTTGGGGACTAAAGGGGAGAGAGAGGGTGAGAGAAGGGAAAGGGTCTTGAGGACGAAAGGGAAGAGTGGGGGGTGGGTTCTGGGGAACTAAAGGGGGAGGAGGGGCGGGGTCTGGAGGACTAAAGGGGAGTGTGAGGGGTGGGTTCTGGAGAACTAAAGGGGAAAGTGAGGGGGAAAGGAGGGGTGGGGTCTGGAAGACTAAAGGGGGAAGGAGGGGCGGGTCTGGAGGACTAAAGAAGAGTGTGAGGGGGAGAAGGGGCGGGGTTTTAGGACTAAAAGGGGAGAGTGGGGGGTGGGTTCTGGAGAACTAAAGGGGGAGGAGGGGCGGGGTCTGGAGGACTAAAGAAGAGTGTGAGGGGGAGAAGGGGCTGGGTTAGAGGACTAAAGGGGAGAGTGGGGGGTGGGTTCTGGAGAACTAAAGGGGAAAGTGAGGGGGAAAGGAGAGGTTGGGTCTTGAGGACTAAAGGGGGAAGGAGGGGCGGGGTCTGGAGGACTAAAGAAGAGTGTGAGGGGGAGAAGGGGCGGGGTTTTAGGACTAAAAGGGGAGAGTGGGGGGTGGGTTCTGGAGAACTAAAGAGGGAGGAGGGGCGGGGTCTGGAGGACTAAAGGGGAGTGTGACGGGGAGGAAGCGCAGGGTCAGGGGTGTAGTGGGCGTGGTATGTGAAGCTACGCCGTCTACCCACTTCTCCTGATGTGAGATTTTTATTTTTTTTAAAGAAAGAAACATCAAATAGATACAACTTAAATGTCAAACCGGGAGCTACTGGTGAAAACATCCTGCATAGAATCATGATACCTGCACTACTGTCCTATAATGACCTGAGACATGAGGGACCAGGACTGAACCTGGACTAAAACTGGACTGAGTGTGAGGACAGGTCCAGAGGTGCACCTGCATAGACCGTTGGGCAGTGTTGGGGAGTAACAGATTACATGTACTGGAGTTATGTAATCAGAGTACAAATTATGAGTAACTGTATTCAGTTACAGTTACTGTTTCAGTGAGTAATTGGATTACAGTTACTTTGTTGAAATAAATGGATTACACGGCGGTATTTTCCTGTTTTCACATTTTGGTAATTCCACTCATTGACGGACACTAAACCAGGTCTAAAACTAGGTCTAAACCCAGGTCCAAACCAGTTCTAAACCTGGTCTAACCCAGGTCTAAAATCAGGTTTAAACTAGGTCTAAACCAGGACTAAAACCAGGACTAAAGCAGGACTAAAATCAGATCTAAATCAGGTCTAAACCAGGTCTAAAGAGTATGAGACCTAACAGTAGGTGGACATACTCATATAAATTTCTCATTTCTCATATAAACATCATTTCTCTATCAATAATATTTTTTATCTGGTTAAGTAAAGACTGGACTTTTTATTTTCTTTTAGCAGATAAAACAAAACATCTTATGTTCAGATTCTCATCTTTGCTTTACAGTAAACAAAAGTCTGTTCATGGAGACTTGGGCTCAACAGAGAACAAACAAGAATTTTCAGGATGTGGTTGGTAAATTCATGTAGTTTTAAAAATCTTGACAATATCAAGTAATCCAAAGTATTCAGATTACATTACTCACTTTAAGTAATTTAATGGATTACGTTACAAACTACATTTTGAGGTCTGTAATCTGTAATCTGTAAACAGTGTTGGGAAGGTAACTTTTAAAATGTAATCCCCTACAGATTACAGATTACACACCCCAAAATGTAGTTTGTAACAGAATCCATTAAATTACTTAAAGTGAGTAACGTAATCTGAATACTTTGGATTACTTGATTTGCTGTAGAGAAGCAAAGACGAGGAAATCTTCACATAAGATGTTTTGTCTGATAAAAGAAAATAAAAAGACCAGACTTTACTGAACCAAATTAAAAATATTATTGATAGAAGAAGAGGAGACACGTCCACACAGCAGGATTTAGTCCTGGTTTAGTCCTGTTTTAGTCCTGGTTTAGACCTGGTGTAGATCTAGTCTAAACCTGGTTTAGTTTCCTGCAAAAATGTGAAAACAGGAAAATACCACCGTGTAATCCATTTATTTGAACAAAGTAACTGTAATCCAATTACCACTCACTGAAACAGTAACTGTAACTGAATACAGTTACTCATCATTTGTACTCTGATTACATAACTCCGATACATGTAATCCGTTACTCCCCAACACTGTCTGTAGGG